TGGTCAGGGTCCTTGCCTGTAAGAGCGACCACTGCGCTGGCACTCTAGGGACTGGACCCTGGCTAGCCAGAAAATAAAGCTCCTCTTGAGTGATTGCATCCTTGGTGTCTTTGTTCGTCTGCCTGGCGGGGTGCAGGAAGCCGGTCCCTAACAATATGTCCCAAAGATATAAGAAACAGGAGATAAACATCTACATCTAAGTCTTTGGTAAAGAAGATGAGGACAGTGGTACATACCTATAATCCCAACAACTACGGGACTGAGACAGGAGGACTCCTTGACCTCAGAGGATTGAGATAAGGTTGAGAAACATAGCAAGTGCCCATCTCAAAAAAAGTTAAAGGATCTTTGAACTAATGAAAGAAAATTATTTCCATGTATATGGAATAAGATATGGATCAGTTATTATCCTTTCTACAGAGACATGTATATTCTAAGATATGTTTTACTAATGAATTAAGATATCTGATAAAGAAAAGCCTCTATTTTTCCACAAATTATGGTCCAGATTGTGTGAAATCATAATCAAATTTTACTCTCTCTCTTCGCTTTGTTCTTAGTGAACACGTTGCAACCTGATTCTGATTATTATGTGGAACTACAATGGGCTAAGAATAAGAAAAACCTGCTTTGAGGTGCACATAGTTTGATGTAGAACAGGTACCAAATAAGCAAGAACTGGGCATATGAATAAGAAAAGAGCAAGCCAGTGATGGTTGACAGATAATGGTGCAAGAACTGATAGTAATAAAGAGATTATTACAGAGGGGGTGGTGCAAGATGGTGGAAGAATAACACCGTCAGACAGAGTATCTCTGCAAAAAAGACAGATTCTAGCAGAAATTAGAGGAAAGAAGCAAGAAGACGAGCATACAGCGGACGAGGGCAGGAAGAAGGGGTACCTGAGACCCCGGGAGGCTCCACGGGAGGAGGCTGTGGAGGAGAACAGGAGGCCGAGACCACCAGAGCAGCCCGGAGACCAGGAGCAAGGGTAGTTGGATTTGCTGTTTCCCCTCCCCTGCATTTGGGACTGCTGGTGGGCTCCCCAGCGGGTGGAGAGACCTGCAGACACCAGCCCAGGGACCGCTGCTGCCAGCCAGCGGTGATCCTATAGCAGATGTGGCGCCAGGTTCCCAACTTCCTCAGGGCACCTCCATGTGCACAGACCTGAGCCGCACAGCAGGCGCCATATTCCCTCCTCCTCCACTCCGCCGACCCTACCCGCAGCTGCCCAGAGAGACAATACAGCCACCAGCCAGAGGCACCTCCAGGAATGGGACCTTCCCTTTTGGGACCCTACAGCTGACCAGGGGAACTCAGACTGTGAGCTCCCTAGCCCGCCTCCCAGGTGCTGCTGGCACGGTGTTCCCAGGAGAACGGTGCCGACTCAGAGGCTGAGAGACATAGACCCAGCTTGGGCTCCCTGTGGGTGAATTGGGACTGGAAATCCTCCCCCTGGTGGGGATACAGTTTGAACTCTGGGACCCAGAGGTCGGACCTGCAGACCAGATCCCCTGCCACCGAGGGCTAGCATTGCCGGGCACAGGAAGGGTTAACATGAACAGCCTACGGAGGTGTGTGTGCCTCCAGGGGCGGATCGGCATCCTAGAGGGCAACCCTCCTCCCAGGAGGAGGCCATGCGCCCAACCCAGGTGGCGTTCCTTTACAGGGAACCTCCCCGCCAGCATCACAGTCCGGGGAGGCCTGGTGCTTGTGGTCTGTCCTGCTGGCAGAGGCCCAGGAGTAGCTGCGGAGTTGGGAGGGTGAAAGAACAGCCCGCTCCAGACTGCCGGTCTCAGACAGCCCCACCCCCACATCATGTTGTCTTTGTTTTTGCTTCTGTTTATGTGGTGAATTGCATTTATAGATTTAAGTATGTTGAACCATCCCTGCATCCCTGGGATGAAGCCCACTTGGTCGTGGTGGATTATTTTTTTGATTAGCGTCTGGATTCGGTTAGCTAAGATTTTGTTGAAAATTTTTGCATCTATATTCATTAGGGATATTGGTCAGTAGTTTTCTTTTTTTGTTGCATCCTTTCCTGGTTTCGGTATCAGAGTAATATTCGCTTCATAAAAGGTGTCGGGGAGGTTTCCGCTCTTCTCGATGTTGTGGAATAGTTTCTGCAAGATAGGTACTAGTTCTTCTTTGTAGGTATGGTAAAATTCAGGTGTGAAGCCATCTGGACTGAGACTTTTCTTTTTAGGGAGATTTTTAATTGCTGTTTCTATTTCAGCTGTTGAGATTGGTCTGTTCAGGGAATCTATTTCTTCCTGGTTGAGCTAGGGAGGCGTTGGTGTTTCTAGAAATTTGTCCATTTCCTCACATTTCCAGTTTGTGTGCATAAAGATTTTTGAAGTATTCATAAACTGTATCTTGTATTCTTGGATCAGTTGTGATATCTCCTTTTTATTCCTGATGGAGCTTATTAGAGATTTCTCTTTTCTGCTTTTCGTTAGCTTAGCCAATGGTGTGTCAATTTGTTTATTTTTCAAAAGAACCAACTTTTTGTTTTATTAATCTCTCCTGATAGCTTCCTCTGTTTTCCAATTTTGTTTAGTCTTGATTTGATCTTGTTGATTCACTTCTTCTGCTGAGTTTGGTTGGTCTGTTTTCTTTTTCCAGCTCTTGAGTCGTTTCATTAGATTGTCTATTTGTGATCTTCTTGTCTTTTGGTTATAGGCATTTATGGAGATAAACTTTCCTCTCAGAACTGCTTTAGCTGTGTCCCAGAGGAGTTGATAACTTGTCTCTCCATTGTCATTTTCTTCATAGAACTTTTTATTTCCGTCTTGATTTCTTCATTTACGAAGTAATCATTTAGTAGGAGATTGTTTAATTTCCACGTTTTTGTGTAGAAATGTGAGTTTCTGTTAGGGTTGATTTTCTAGTTTATTCCACTGTGGATCTGAGAAGGTACATGGTATGATTCTATTTTTTTAAATTTCTTGAGATTCTTTGTGTCCTAGGATATGGTCAATCTTAGAGAATGTCCCGTGAGCGATGAGAAGAACGTATATTCAGTGATTTTTGGGTAGAATGTTCTTGTAGAATGTCTGCAGACCAATTGTTCCTAGAGTTTTGTTTACGTCATCTATTTCTTTATTATTTTCTGTTTGAGGATCTTTCTCGTGCCGTCCATGGGGGTGTTGAAATCTCCGGCGATTATGGAGTTCATTAATCCATTTGCTTAGCTCCAGTAAGGTTTGCTTAATGAATCTGGTGCACCTAAGTTGGGTGCATATATATTTAAAATTGTTATCTCTTCTTGTTGGACTGTGGCCTTCACCATTATATAATGACCCTCTTTGTCTTTCACTACTTTTTGTTGGTTAAAAACTAAATCGTCTGCGAAATTAGAACGTGCCACACCAGCTTCGTTTTTTGGCTCTATTTGGCTTGCGAATCATTATCTCCCCCTTCTTATTTTTATCTACCTATCGCATCCTTGCAGGTTAGATGTGTTTCCTGACAAAAGCATATACTTGTCTGCTATTTCCGTTATCCATATCAGCCCAGCCTATGTTTCTTGAGTCGGCAGAGGTTTTAAGCCATTCACATTTATTGAGAGAACTGATAGATAAGGTAGATTACTGAATCATTTCTGATTGGGTTGGATGTTGTTGCTATATCTGTCTTGACCTTGTAAATATCTGGCCTTTAATATAGAAAAAACTATTTATTCACAAATTACACAAAAAACAACCATCCATTACTCAAAACAACATATCAAATGTTAAGTATTCACTTCTCTAGATAACTATCTACCTTTTGAGAATTTTCCTTATTAAACAAAATAATATTTGTTTTTTTGGATCACTCTGAAACTGACCTTTAATTTAACCAGAGCTAAATTTCTGATGATATAATTTAGGGTAAAAATATACTTTTCAAGGCAAGCGCTGACTTCTCCAATTCTGAAAAGAAAAAGATACGCATTGCAATAAAACAAAATTTTGGAAATTCATTCTCATAAAAATGTAGACCATTGCTTATATGCTCCAACCATGTTAGGTAAGATCCTTAACATAAAGTAGCCTACTTTCATCTCTAACAAAGATAAAATTAATTTTCCACCAATAATATCTTCCTGAGTATCAGAAATTACAGTATCCATAGTTCTTTATAACTGTACTACAATATATAGATATAAAAATAAATTAGCAACAACACTATTGATTTGTGAATGTGATTGTGGCTTTTCAACAAAATATTTAACATAGTCTTCTCATAAGCACAGAATTGTACTACAAATCACATTCCAGTTTCTATGTATTTTGTGTTTCAGTTACTTACTCATTGACACATCTAATAACATCCTTAAACTTTTTTATTTTTAGAAAGATGCCATTTAGCTACTTAAAATTGTAATTATTTTTCATTTCACTAAGTATTTCTAAAAAAGTTATCTAGAAAAGTAATTCCAAATCATCAACTGGAAAGTTACAAGCAAGACATAAGCTGTCTTCAGGGTTTTTTAAGCTTTTAAAATTAAAGAAAAGAAAATACTGCTTTTGACTGGGATGATACAGCAATACAATTTATCATGACCTATCTGTAAAAGCCATTCATTTTAAAAATGACTCACTTGTGGTAAGGACTACTCTACCTACTATAACAACTGAAAAAAATCATTCTGCATACTCCACACATCTAACAAATACTGAAGGAGAAAACTATTATTGTCATACCTTTAAAGTCAAAATCGAAACACAAATCAGAAGAGATATTTCAGAAAATGTTCAGAATGTACACATCTGCATGCATTTTCAGCCAAACTTTCAAAGATTTCACATATAACCAAATGACACCTTTGAATCAAAATGAAACGTCAAAAATATTAAAGCTTTATGACAGACTTACTCTTATGAAGCAAGAAAAATGAAAGAATGAATAGTAACAACAGTATATTTCTTGGAAGGAAAGATATCACACACTTCCCTTACCACAAAACAAAAGTGAGCCAACATTTTAATAACATTAGCCATCAAGTTATTCACTATTTAAGAATATATTTTTCAAGTTGTCTTTAAAGTTGCCATCAAGTTATCCACTATTTAAGAATACACTTTTCAAGTTGCCTTTAAAACATACTCACTTATATATTCAGATTACATTAAGTTTATTAATCAAAAGCGAGTTTACTCAGAATTCTAATCTTAAGAAGTATAAATCATAACTTATCAAGACATAGTCCAAACACTATTAATAATTCTACCATTTAGTTTTTGTATGCCTCATCTGATAAACTTATTTTTTACAAACAAGAGTTTTGCCCTCTATCTCCACAGTAAATGTCCCTATATCTAAATTTTAAGTGGCAATCAAAAAGATTCAAACAATTCCTCCATTATGCACACTGCTTCATCGGGCTTTGATAAAAACAGAGCCATCTGGTGGTGTAGCACCATCTTCCTTCTCGGTTACAGTCTCTACAGTCCCAGAAGCAGACACAATAACCATTGTTTTATTTGCCGAAACTGTCTTCTGTTTTTCAGCAATAGCAGCACAAACAGCGACAATCTCATCACTTTCAAAGTCATAGTCTGGAATCGACTTCGGTGAAAAATGTGCTACTTCAGCTGGTGCTTCACTTTTTTTAATCTTCTGTGCTACTTTCTGTTGTTCCTGGAGCGTTCTTGCCCAAGAGAGGTCTTCTTTCCATATTTCGGGGTTCATTGGATGGATGTGAAGAGCCACTTGAAAACTTCGAATAGCCAGGATTCTCTCTCCCAATCCAAGCTGAGCACGTCCCAAAGTTTGCCAAGACTCCCATGAATGTGGATTTCGCTGAACAGCCATTTCGGCTGCATGCACTGCTGGGAACATTTCATGAAGAGACATTAGGACCTGTGATTTCATCTCATACAGGGTAGCATCATTTGGGGTTAACTGTAATGCTTCATCCCACTTCTGAATTGCTTCACGGTATCTTTTATTTTCAGCCAAACTGGCTCCTTCATCCTTCAGCTGTTTACTTTTCTCAGCAGAGCCTTCAAGGAGAACTTTCCTACGTTTAATGGCATGAAGCCAGTTACCTTCATCATTTTCAGCCACATCCTTCTCATCAGCAGCTTCAGCCTCAAACTGCTGGGAAGTGACCTTTGAGACCTTCTCACCAATCTTCCTCTTCCACCCAAAAGAAGCCATTCTTCGTGCCCCGGCTGTGCCAGACCCCGTCGCGTTTCAACTCTGACTTCTGAAGCTCCTTTCTTCCCTAAAGCAACACCCACTCGCCTCGTTTTCCTCGTTTTCCTCCTCTTCCTCCGCTTCCACCGCCAACCCGGCAGCCCCAGCTACCTAATAATCACTCCCGCGATCCCGTGTTTACATTGCTGCCCTCATTGTGGTTTTGATTTGCATTTCTCTAATGATTAGAGATGTCGAACATTTTTTTTATATGTTTGCAGGCCATTATTCTGTCTTCTTTGGAGAAGTTTCTGTTCATTTCCATTGCCCATTCATGATGGGGTTGTTTGATGTTTTCTTGTTTATTCTTTTAAGTTCTAGATAGATTCTTGTTATTAGACTTTTATCAGAAGTGTAGAGAGCGAATATTTTCTCCCATTCTGTGGGTTGTCTATTTGCTCTATTGATCATTTCTTTGGGAGTGCAGAAACTTTTTAATTTGATAAGATCCCATTTGTTTATTTTTGATGCAGCAGTGATTGCCTTGGGGTCTTCCTCATAAATTATTTGCCTAGACCAATGTCTGATAGGGTTTTCCCAACATCTTCTTCTAGGATTCTTAAAGTTTCATGTCTTAGGTTTAGGTCTGTTATCCATCTTGAGTGAATTTTTGTGAGGGGTGAAAGGTTGGGGTCCTGATTTGCACTTCTTCATATTGTTAACCAGTTTTCCCATCACCATTTATTGGAGATAGAATATTTTCCCCATAGTATAATTTTGTCTGTTTTATGAAAGATTAGGTTACTGTATACAGATGGTTTGATCTTTGGAATCTCAGATCTATTCCAGATATCGATGTTTCTGTTCTTGTGCCAGTACCAGGAAGATTTTACTATTATTGCCTTATAGTACAGCTTGAAGTCAGGAAGACTGATCCCTCCCAGTTTGTTCTTTTTACTTAAGATTGCTTTGGCTATGCGTGGTTTTCTCTGGTTCCATACAAAGCAAAAGATTATTTTTTCTAGATCTGTAAAGAATGCTGGTGGTATTTTGATGGAAATTGCATTGATTCTGTAGATCACCTTAGGTAATATTGACATTTTAACAATATTGATTCTTCCAAGCTATGAGGATGATAGATTTTTCCATCTGTTTAAATCATCTGCAATTTCTTTTTTTAGTGTTTCATAGTTCTCCTTGTATAAATTGTTCATATCTCTCGTTAGATATACTCCTAAGTATTTTATTTTCCTTGGAGCTACAGTAAAGGGTATTGCATTTTTTATTTGAATTTCTGCTTGATGGGTTTTGGCATATATGAATGCTTCTGATTTATGTATATTGATTTTATACCCTGAAACTTTTCTGAATTCATTTATCATGAATATAGATGCAAAAATCCTAAACAAAATTTTAGCAAATAGAATTCAGCAGCATATCAAAAAAATAATTCACCATGACCAAGTGGGGTTTATGCCTGGCATTCAAGGATGGTTCAATATATGCAAGTCTATAAATGCAATCCACTTTATAAATAAAGTCAAGAACAAAGATTATCTGATTCTGTCAATAGATGCAGAAAAAGCATTTGATAAAGTCCAACATACCTTTATGATAAAAACCCTTAACAAAATAGGCATAGATGGCCCTTTCCTTATTATCAAATCCATTTATGACACACCAATGGCTAACATCATTCTAAATGGAGAAAAATTGAAATCATTCCCCCTTCAAATTGGAACTAGACAAGGATGTCCACTTTCTCCCCTCCTATTCAACATAGTGCTCGAAGTCTTAGCTATAGCAATCAGGCATGAGAGGGGTAATAAGGGCATCCAAGTTGGGTCAGATGAGATCAAACTCTCACTCTTCGCTGATGATATGATATTATACTTAGAAAACCCCATGGACTCATTCAAGAGACTCCTAGATCAGAGCAATCTTAAGTAAAAAGAACAAACTGGGAGTTATCAATCTACCAGACTTCAAGCTGTACTACAAGGCTACAGTAATTAAAATAGCATATTACTGGCACAAGAACAGAGACATAGACTTTTGGAACAGGACTGAGAATCCAGAGATGAAACCATCTGCATATGGTAATCTAATCTTTGACAAAGCAGACAAAACTATACGCTGTGGAAAAGAATATCTTTTCAATAAATGGTGCTGGGAAAACTGGATAGCTACACGCAGAAGATTCAAACTGGATCCCCACCTCTCACCTCTTACAAAAATGGAAGGGGAAGGGGGAAAGGGCAATATACATAACCTTAACATTTGTACTCCCATAATATGCTGAAATAAAAAATAGTCAATTAAAGATGGATAACAGACTTAAACCTAAGGCATGAAACCTTAAGAATTCTAGAAGAAGATGTTGGGAAGATACTTTCAGACATCAGCACAGTCAAAGAATGTTTGAAGAATACCCCCAAAGCAATCACAGCAGCAACAAAAATAAATAAATGGGATCTGATCAAATTAAAAAGCTTATGCACAGCCAAAGGATCTATCATTACAGTGAATAGACAGCCTAGAGAATGGGAGAAAATATTTGCTCTCTACACATTCAATAAAGGGCTGATAACAAGAATCTATCTAGAAGTTAAAAAAAATCAACAAGAAAAAATCAAAGAACTCCATCAATAAATGGGCAAAGGAAATAAACAGAAAATTTTCAAAAGAAGACAGAATAATACCAGCAAACATATTAAAAAATGCTCAACATGTCTAATCATTAGATAAATGCAAATCAAAACCTTTATATTTAATATTCAAATTAGGATGTGCTTTTCTATTTCTGAAAAAAAAAAAAAAAGCAACCCACCATTGGTATTTTGGTAGAGATTGAACTGAATCTATAGAAGACTTTGCGTAATACTGTCATCTTATTGTTAAGATTTTCTATCTGTGAACTTGGGATGTTTTTCCATTAATTCCTGCATTCTTTAATTTATTTCAAAAAATTACTTTGCTAATTTTCTTACTATATTCATACTGACTATTATTACTATATTCATACTGACTATTTCTTCATGATTCTGAATCAGTAGACCTTGTGTTTCTAGGAATTTATTCCATTTACTCAAGGTTATATAATTTGTTGATGGATGCTTATTTACAGCACACTTCTAATGGTGTTTATTTCTATGAAATTGACAATAATGTCCCTACTCTCATTTTGCTTTTTAGTGTTTTGAGTCTTTCCTCTTTTTCTTTGTCAATCTAGCTAAAATTATGTCAATTTCCAAAAAAAAAATCCAAATTTTTGTTTTTTATTTGTTCTCCATTGTTTTCCTATTGCCTGTCTCTGTTCTAATCTTTATTATTATTTTACTTGTGGTAACTTTGGGTTTAACTTGTTTTTTTTCTATCTAATTCCTTAAGAAGTAAAGTTAGTGATTGATTTGGGACCTTTCTTTTTTTTTCTTTTCCTTTTTTCTTTCTTTTTTTTTCTTTTAGTGTATTATGGGGGTACAAGTCTTAAGGTTACTTATATTGCCCATGCACCCCTCCCACCGCGAGTAAGAGCTTCAAGCATGTCCATCCCCCAAACATTGCACATCTTACTCGTGGTGGTTGTATGTACCCATTCTCTCCTCCCCGCTCCCACCCTCTCGACACCCGATAAATGTTACTCCTATATGTCCACTTAAGTGTTGATCAGTTAATACCAATTTGCTGGTGAGTACATGTGGTGCTGGTTTTTCCACTCTTGAGATACTTCACTTAGTAGAGTGGGTTCCAGCTGTATCCAGGAATATACAAGAGGTTTTCTATCACCACTGTGTCTTAAAGCTGAGTAGTATTCCATGGTATACATATATCACATTTTATTAATCCACTCATGAATTGATAGGCACTTAGGTTGTTTCCACAGCTTTTCAATCGTTAATTGTGCTGCTATAAACATTCAAGGGCAGGTGTCTTTTGCATAAAGTGACTTTTGATCTTTTGGGTAGATGCCCAGTAGTGGAATTGGTGGATCAAATGGTAGATCTACTTGTATCGCTTTGAGGTATCTCCATATTGCTTTCCACAGCGGTTGAACTAGTTTGCAGTCCCACCAGCAGTGTAGGAGTGTTCCTCTCTCTCACCATCCACGCCAGCATTTGTTGTTTGGGGACTTTTTGATAAAGGCCATTCTCACTGGAGTTAAGTGATATCTCAGTGTGGTTTTGATTTGCATTTCCCTGATGATTAGAGATGTTGAACATTTTTTCATATGTTTGTTGGCCTTCATTCTGTCTTCTTTTGAGAAGTTTCTGTTCATGTCCTTTGCCCATTTTTTGATGGGGTTTGTTTGATTTTTCTTGCTGATTTTCCTGAGTTCTAAATAGATTCTAGTTATCAGCCCTTTATCAGATGTGTAGCTTGCAAAAATTTTCTCCCATTCTATGGGTTGTCTGTTTACTCTCTTGACAGTTTCTTTGGCTGTGAAGAAGCTTTTTAATTTCATTAGGTCCCATTTGTTTATTTTTGTTGCTGTTGTGATTGGCTTTGGGAACTTCTTCATAAATTCTTTGACTAGGCCAATGTCTAGAAGAGTATTTCCAACATTTTCCTATAGAATTCTAATAGTTTCACACCTAAGGTTCAAGTCTTTTACCTAGCATGAGTTGATTTTTGTGAGAGGTGAAAGGTGTGGGTCTTGTTTCAGTCTTCTACATGTGACTACCCAGTTTTCTCAGCATCATTTATTGAATAAGGATTATTTTCTCCAGTGTATGTTTTTATCTGCTTTGTCAAAGATTAGTTGGCTTTATGAGGATGGTTTTATATCTGGGTTCTCTGTTCTGTTCCACTGGTCAATGTCCCTGTTCTTGTGCCAGTAAAAAGATGTTTTAATAACTGTAGTCTTGTAGTATAGTTTGAAGTCTGGTAAATTGATACCTCCTATTTTGTTTTTATTGCCTGGGATTGATTTTGCTATACGGGGTCTTCTCTGGTTCCATATGAAGTGTAAAATTATTTTTTCTGTATCTGTGAAAAATGATGATGATATTTTTATAGGGATTGTGTTGACTCTGTAGGTCACTTTAGGTAGTATATACATTTTAACAATGTTGATTCTGCTGACCCTTAAGCATGGCATATTCTTCCATCTGTTTATGTCCTCTGCTATTTCCTTCTTCAGTGTTTCATAA